AATGTTTATAAAATGATAGAAAATAAACCATGCAGCTAATAACCAACTAATATAGCGTAAAGGGAACGGCTTGAAGATGTATTATTAAATCAGAATATCAAGCAACAATAAAACTCTATATGCTCACTTCAAATCACTTAACCAATGACCTGAATGTCAACTTTTCGTGCTTGTCGGAATAATGTATTGTACATATGGGCCGAAAAATATTGAATAAAATAAATTACCTTTAATTTCAAAAAAAATTGTTATTATTCCATTTTATGTACTATTGACTACTGTCGTCACTCTCGGGATTTGATTTTTGATTTTTGGTGTTTTAACGCCACTTTTAAGCACCGCTATTTGGCTGTTTCGTGGCGGCCAGTTTTTTTTTGGTGGAGGAAGCCTGAGTGTCCGGAGAAAACCACCGACCTTCGATAGGAAAACTGACAATCCTAGTCAATTAAAATTGGAGTCGAGGCACCGTCATCCTCGGGAAAACAACACACTAATTTCTTACGTGTGTAAGCAACAAACTACAGTAACTATTAATTTGCGCATACTTTGTTATTCCATAGACTAAATGCAAATGTATTTTCAACTACTTCGTACCAAACTGGAGACATAAGAACGTCACAACGTACAAACACCAAATATGACAAATGAAAACCACGCTTTGAAACTTTAACTAAGATATTTTAGAGTGACTACAGTAGAAAAAAACTTCCTTTGTAGCAAACACATTTATTCTTATATAGATATACATTCAAATCGTTTACTTTGCTATGTTCATTTTCATTTCTTGTCAATATTGATCATTCACAAATTGAATATCCTTAAACAGAATTTCCAAAACATCACTTCGATAAAATATATTTGAGATCGTGATTTTGAATTAAAATCCCTCTAAGATGTGTTTGTAAGTCAAGAAATGTAACAAGAATTGTTATTAGATGACTGTTCACTGGACGAAGATTGACATATTTGGTAAACACATAAATGTTTGAGGATCTCAATACAAGGCATGTTTGGTTAAGATGACATAAACACATTGTTGTTAATAAAAGTCTGTCTCCATCTCTTATATTGTCAATTAAGTTTTCAATCTGCACTAATTGAAGATGTTTTCAGCTGGAAACTAAATAAATTCTTATAGAATTGATTTTTGTATTATCTATAAAAAGAACGCAAATAGTTGCTTGAAGCCTTTATCTGCTATACAATAGACTAATAAAAGACGCAATATGATTTTCTGCCATTATTGTTTCAAATGAACTTTTTGTTGAAAATTTTACATTTCATTTAAACAGACAAAAATACCGAAAAATACATAACTTCAAAATTGGTATTTAGGTTATTTACACATTACGTATTTTAATTACACAATTTTTACATGTATTTTTCATGTTTATGTTGATTAAAAAGCTGCATTGGATATATTTCCGGAAATGATGATGTCTTCATCGAATATTCCCCTTAAATATGAATAAAAGGAGATGTTTTTTTTTTTTTTAAAGACAAAAAAATTTCTGCAATCAACACCAAATGATGACGACATAAAATTGGGATATGACAAAGAACAACTTTAGACGCGGCTCCTTACGTTAGGCAGTCAGCAATATCGATATCTAACGGTTACTCTACGACCTAAAAAATGGACAACCCCAACACTGTATTGAAAACCTTAATTAAACAACCTCGAGTATTTACGATTGAGAAATATTCAGTAGCGACGACCACATATCTGAGATTAACACCAACTTCTCAGCAAAAGAGGCGAAACATACATTTATTTACCACTGAAATTCTACCAGATTTCTTTATAGGCTCTCTAAAACATTTGGTTGGGTTAAGCTAGTGCTCGTATTTTCATCAATGTTAGAATAATATATACAGATAAAAAAAATCCAAAATTGCAAATTATCAGTCATAAGTTATTTAGATATTCCAGACTAATAAAATATATTAAAAAAATAAATAATAAAAAATAGAGTTTATTCGTGAAACATAAAACAAGCCCAAAGTTTTAATCTGGGGCCGTGTCATCGAAAGTGTCCTAAGATTTGTCTTAAGATATATCTGAGGACAAATTATAGGACAGTCTTAGGACTGTCTTATGATATATATATCAGACTGTATATCGAAGGTATCCTAAGATAATCTTAACAAAGATGTCCTATCGTAGTACTAAGTGCAATTTTCTCGTTGCCGTGTAATGATACAATTATTTAAACAAGAATATACAAAAATAGTAGGATTTCTGTATGCTACATTAGGTTTGCACACATATTATGCTTAAACTTAAATCTTATATTCAAAATATCAGTTTAAAAATATTTTTAATCAAGTAAAAGGAAGAAAATATAGAAGAAAATGTCATTTAAAATAAAGTTGCATAATGAAATCTGTAACAAAATAAAAATGTTTTCTTCTAATAGTCTACTAATAAGTTGTCTAAGGACCAAAATTAGGACATATCCTAAGATAAGATCTTTTCGATAACACGGCTAAGAGCGAAAAAAAGATGATCTTAGGACATATCTTATTTTTATTCTATTCTAACCATCTTAAAGTTAACCCTTACATACACATGATAATTTTCATTTGGCTTATTGCTAAAACATTTTGCATTTCTACTTTTGGTATCTTCATGTATTCAACAGCGAACCAGTTTAATTAATTCTACTTCTCGGGGGTATTGAATTATATAGATTCAGTATGATGAATAAGCCAATATCAACTTGAGAGTCTTCATTCATTTTGTTGGCAAGAGTAATTCTCAATGAATTGAACGATATTTCTTTAATTAATGAGACACAAGACTTTATCAAGTCAACAACGGCTTTATAGAACCAATTCGATTGGTACTTGTAACCTTCAAAATAAAGTTGTTGAACGGTTTTGAAAGGAAGTTTTGGAATGTTGTTTGCATGTGCAATATTGTCATTTTGATTTCATTCCTCTTTTGTGTAGTTATATGATTTGTTTATGTTTTACACAAACATTTTGAATACTTATTTGGTCTCTCTTGTTTTTGGTCGTGAAATATTCATATTAGTAAACTTTAAAAAAAAAATCTGACTTTAATTACCTTAATTTCGTTTTGAAAAATAATGTCTTTGTTTGCTTTCTTATATCATCGTAATAATTACATCAGAGAGTTTCTGTCCGAGCTCTTAACTGTAATTATATTTATTTGGAAGCTATTGGTGTACTTCTCGTGTTCCGGAATTTTCTCCCTTGCTTACGCAAATTAAGATCCTGTAACCATAGACTATAAAATGCCAAAAACACATAAAAAATAAAAATCAGCAAACCTTTGTTTCATTTGGTTTTTTTTTTTTTCTTTCGCTAGGACAAAAATAGTTTAATTCTTAGTTATAAGGTTGGCATCATGCAACAATTTTATATGTTTTTTTTATTGAGTAAAGTCATTATTCATTTCGTCAGTGTTTATCTAATTGATACCCTTAAGAATACAATAAGCTATAAACCTACTTTTATTGAGTCCTAATCATTATATATAAGTAAAAAATACAATTAAATCTACCAAGCTTAAGCTTATGTGAGTACGTGTTAGTTATACTTTTGTGGAATGGTCTACAGGCATAGCATCTCTTGAATCAATTGACAATTTAAAATTTTTTTCCTACTTTGCTTCGTTTATCACCATTAAAAATACACCGAAATATATTCGCATTATGCCGAAATCAACCAAGGAAGACAAATTAAGGGTAAATCAGAGAAACACTTTTTAAAGAATCAAAAGGGGGGGGGGAAGCGTAAAGAAAACACATTGTAACAAACTTGTTTTCCAACTTGTGGGGAAAAAAACACAAAGTTTAGTCCCAAATCACTGCACAGACAATTCAAATTGACAACATGAAAACCCACAAAAACCAGCGGTGAACTAGGTGCACCGGAAGGATAGGAATTTCCTGCTAAAAATTCTGTCACTCGTCGTGTTGCTAATGAAAAAGTAAAAATTCTTTGATAAGTCGAAATCGGTGAAGTCACATTAGGCAAAAAGGAACCCGGTATTGTGAATAGTGTAATAAAAAGATTTAAATGAAACTGTGCAAGGTAGAATAGAAAATAACGTATGGTATAAAGCTCCTCTTTCAGGATTCGTTAAATAATCTAAACAGAAAACTAAACACCTGTTTATGGTCAAATTTGCAAATACCGAACGACTAGGTTTCGGTTGGTTGGTTTTAGACTAGATGTGAATACGAAGATTTGTAGCAAATCTCAAAGTGGAACAAATTAATAAAATAGAGACTTAATTAAAACCTTTGAAAAAACAGGTTTATATAAATACGAGACAACGGCATTTCATTCATGTTCAAAACTCGTAAATACTTGAGGGGATCGCATAAATTCTAATAGGAACGATATGCGGGAAATATTTGTAACTGGGCAGGATGTAAACAGCAAACAATCATTCAAAAGGAGCCCGGATGAGTCGATAGAATAAGCGTCTCCTGCTATGCATGGAAAACTGTTCTCCATTCTGATTTTAGTGCATAGCATTCATTAAATATTTGTCTATGTTTATGTTCATTGTGATTTATATTAAAGCGAGACTTCTTCAAAGTCGACAATGAAAAACCGCTGATAAGAAAAGAACAAACAAGATAACGACTAAAAGAAAGAAAGGTGAAAAAAGTAATAATTCAATCATATTTTTTCAAATAAGAGAAAGTATATCGATATAAAATAGAGGCGAACGAATGATTTCGAACTGTCATTCGAATAGATCGTGTGTCAAATCTGGTTACCATTTAGTTACTTTTGTGTAAAAATATGTAAAGAATACACGAATGAGAATATATTACGTTAGCTGTATTTGGCAAAACCTTTAGGCCTTTTTGGGTCCTCAATACTCCTCATTTATGTACTTGATTAGACGTGTTAGCTTTTTTGATTCGAGCGTCACTGGTGAGTCTTTTAAAAATGAAACCAGCGTCTGGCGTATAAGATTATAAGCCTGGCGTCTTTGATGATTTTAAACTTACCTTTCACCTCAAAATGCATAGACTTTGATTCTTCCGAGTAATCATTCTGTAGACCGTGGACATTGGCTGCTATATATTTACTCATGTGACACGATTTATCATTAAATAAGTAGTCAAAACTGGAGCAGGTAAAACCGGTTTCAACCAGACACAACTGAGCGCAATGTTCTAAATTTACTCCAAGCATTATCTTGTTGTAGATGTGTATTCCTTCTAGAGGACGTAATGTTCCATATCCAAAATTGATGAAATTTTCAAACGGCCCATCTGAAAGCAAAAGTATTCAAAGGTTATATTTTGTCAGCGAGAGAGAGAGAGGGTTAATTTTCCCTGAATTATTTTCAAACCATGACCATTTTTAAAAAGTCTTACATTCATATACATGTAGTATCGCAACCCAATGTGTGTCCTTTAGGGTTCTTATAATAGTATAGATTATTTCTAAACAGACCTCCAAAGAATAACACCTGAAGAAAACCCAAAGCCACAGTATTGGCAATTTTTGAGTAGTATGAAAAGTACATTGTAACCGAAGCCCAAGTTATGTTGAACGTAAAGTTGTACTGTCTTTCGAATACAAATTAATTCGTTTTGGTTAGCGACATTCTTCGATGCAAATTCTGACAAAAATCATGTAAAATTTGCACGTTTAAAAAAGATTAGACCTACCTTTTTATATGATCACATATCATAAGACAACAATAAATTATATACAAAATAATGTTAGTACATTTCAATAAGATACCATGTAATTTGTTCATTAAAATATACAAATAAAGTTGTTTGATGTTGATGGTTACGTTTCTGATGAACATTTATTGACGTTTATATTGAAATGCAAAAAAAACATTTAGCCCTCAAAATTAATTTTCATGTGTGCATTAGTTACTCTTTAATTTTTTAAATTGTTATTGATTTTTATTTGCTGATTTTGATTATAAAATCAAAGGCAAAGGTTAAAAGGCCAAGATATTAGTTTGAGTTAAAAGAGCAAAAGTTTTTGCAAAATTAATCAAAAGTGAAACCTCCAACTGCGAATTTTTATGGCACTTAAACCAATCTAATGATCTTCACTTAAAGATCTAAATGATCAGAAGTGGTACTGTATATTGCGTGAAAAGATGTTTTTATGTCTATCAATGTATTGCTGTTTTATCGAGCGTTAGGTATATCAGCTATCTGTTCTGTTTTGTATTAAAAAAAAATCCTCAGATATCCACTGGATTAGAAAAAGAGAGGCGAAAGATACCAAAGGGACATTCATAACTCATAAATCGAAATTAAACTGACCACGCCATGACCAAAAATGAAAAAAAAACAAAAGACAAACAACAGTATACAAAACACAACATAGAAAACTAAAGAATGTGCAACACGAACCCCACCAAAAACTGGGAATGATTAGAGTATAGTCCCGTTTTATCTGCAATTTGTTTCCGTCAAAAATGCGTGTTATATGTCACATATTATGTTACAACCCCTTTACTGCCTAACGGCGTGTCGACGTATTACTCACCAAACGTTCTCTGGTAATAATCTGTTCCATATTGTATTACCACTCCTCCGGAGGCCGCTGGAGTCTTTGAAGTCAGCCAACAGTTCTGAAGTCTAACTTCATAATCAAAACCTTGACATTTAAATGAAACTTCTAGAACACATCGTCGTGCACATTTTTCTACAGATATCCCGGGGATTTTTCTATCGTGTGATACGGTCACTATATGATTTGGAAGCCTATGAAAAAGCTTTACATATGCAGCTGTAACAATAAAAATAGCAATGAATTGGTTACCGACAGTATAATGCTGATTCAGAAATTCTCAGAGACACATCATGGATATAGTGTATATGTACTGTAAATTTGTTTCATGTTTATTTTATGTAAAGTTTCCATTTCATCTGAATTAGAAAAAAAAACTTTTATCAAATACAATACCTGGTTTAACTGTTTAGTGATAAATGTGACAAGATTATCATTTTCGTACTTTCTTAGAACCTGGAAATTATAATTTCGAATAAAGTGGTATGATATTTCAGTATTCTCACAATTATATTCTGACTTTTTTCAATGTTTCGTTCTTCTATGAGTTATAGCACTTACAATGCATTAACATCAACTTTTCATGAGACGATACCTCAAATGACAAATTAAAACCCTTCCGGAGCACTTAAGACCACCCCCGGTTTTTGGTGGGGTTCGTGTTGCTCAGTCTTTAGTTTTCTATGTTGTGTTATGTATACTATTGATTGTCTTTTGGTCCTTTTCTTTTGTTGCCATAGCGTTGTCAGTTTATTTTCAACTTATAAGTTTGAATGTCCCTTTGGTATCTTTCGCCTGTCTTTTAAAACTAAATAGACGGGATCACCGGCTCTGGCCAATAAACCATGACCCTTTTTAGCATGTGGTAAATGCATGTATAATAACTAGACAGTGATAAACCTACTTCTGTAATGGTCAACATAAGTTGATGGTATCAGATGAATGAACGGGTCGTCGAGTGAATTGTTGTAAAGACGACATCCTTGAACTTTGTTGTCGATGTCAAATGATTTACATTCAAATGTAGTTTCTCGAACACACCGTTCTGCACACGCTTCTACAGTTACATTGTTGATTGTGATGACTGGAAGACTTGACATGCGCATATTTGGCACCCGGAAATATAATGAATTGAAGTTTTGAATGTCACAACCTGTAATGTAAAAGAAATGATAAAACTTTATATAAAGTAGATAAACAGAAATATTGAAAAAAAAATTACGAAAGCCTGGAACTAACGAAATAAAAGGCAACATTGCAATATGGACTTTTATGATCGCTGTTCACAGTTTGTATCTTTGATGTTTTATGTGTCTTTACAACTTTGGTTTATCAAATAATGCTAGCAATCAATAAGTTCGTAAATGACCAATGACAACAGTATATTCAACTGACATTTTGTCTCATAAATTATTTCTTACATCAAAATGAGATGAAATAGTGTAAATAGAACTATTATTTACTATCAATATGTCAACAATAAATCGTGACATAATGACCAGCAACTGGACAGTTCACATTACTGCAATGCTGAATACAGACGTCCAGGAAGTAATTAACTGTATGGGTAAGATTACATCTATTTATATACTGATATAAATAAGAAGATGCGGTATGAGTGCCAATGAGACAACTCTCCATCCAAGTCACAATGTGTAAAAAGGTAACAATTATAGGTCAAAATACGGCCTTGACTCACACCGAACAGCAAGCTATAAAGGGCCCCAAAATGACTAGTGTAAAACAATTCAAACAGGAAAACCAACGGTCTAATCTATATAAAAAACGAGAAACGAGAAACACCGATGAACCACACCAACAAACGACAACCACTGAACATGATCTAGAAAAGGTATAAAAAGTAGGGCTCGCAGTTTATTCTGCATCAAGAATAATAATGTCATTATTCTATAGACATTCATTGATAACGACTATTTGCTTTTTTTTAAAAGATACATATATGTATCAAAATAAAGTATATCAAACAGTTCCAAAAACCATCATCACAAGCTGTCTGACAACCCATGTTCTCATAAAAGAGAATAAACATACAGTTTACCAAACGATAAAAGGTAACCGATGTTGCATGGCAACTTGCCTTCGAAAAACGTTATATTAGGGAGTAAAAACTGATGTTCCCTAGCCTGGGGTCCTGGCTACTGATTTGCTCCGCTACATGATTATCGACGCAATATGATTGGGCCAGGATGCCAGGCTATGATGTTCCCGGCCTAAATATAATTGAACTACATTTTCCCTAGCCCCTAATACCGACCGTGCAAGACCCTCATGGGTAGTCAAGGTCGTTAAAAAAAACTCGTCGCCCCTCGTCAGTATGGCTAAGATGCATTACCATGAACATTTAGCCAATAAACAAAAAACTTTATTAAAAATTTCTGAACAAATTAATCAAACCTTGAAATCCCTTTGCCTCTGTAATTCTGTAAAATTACTCATATTTAACATGATTGATAAACCCTTTAAAGAAATGGTAAATTAAATTCATATCATATTTTTTAATCAGTAGAATTGTTTCTTTAAAATACTCATATAAAAAAACAAATATAAAAATCTAGCTCACACCAGTGTTTCTGGATATAGATTTTTTTTAAGAAACCTTAAATAAGTACATTTGCTATATTCCCTAATCTTACATTTGGTTGAATGTCCAACATTAGTCATTTGCTACTAAATGTTGTAAAAACGCCTTATTACCGATAAATGAGAATGAATAAAAGAAACAACGGACAACAGCCAAATTATCCCCAATAGCACTAAATACTGATATTTTTCATGTTTAATAATTTTTACTATGCTGTAGGGACCCGTTAAATAGACTTGTAGTGGTCAATTGATTGTGTCCAATTACTATCTGTACATTAGCTTCAACATCCAGACAATGATCAAAAGTAATAAACTGACCATACAATATTTACAATGTATTTGTTCTGTTCTAGATATCTTCGAAAAAAGTACACACTGTAATTTATTTATTTTAACTTTAGTTTTTTCTTCGAAATATATAGCAGCTAATATGATATAGAATGTCTATTGGACAACAACTCAATAACATGGGGCATGCTTTTGTAAGTCTCTCTTACACTTATGAGTTTTTATTTTCCCTTTGGTGATCTTTGGTAACTTCCGCCTCTTTTTTTACGGAAGAATCACTAAACGAAAGTATTTTGTCTGTATGTTGCCATAAGTCTAATAGTCAGTTAAGCTGGTAACCAGACTTGGATTTCTGCTTATGTATTTGTTGTTATCAGATAGACACATCGATGTAATTTTTTCCCACAAATTATATAGTGTGTGCATTAGCCAGGAAAAGCTTCTTTTGCACACATTTGGTATCCATTTTCAAAAACATTCACGGATAGTGCTTCAACCAACCAATTATCCATTGTTATCTTAAATACCAAGATAACTAAAATATACCTCGATTTTATTTTTTTTAAAAGGGACTGTTATGATCTCATTAATATTATCAATTCTATCAATTAGGTCTAGTATTTTGGTTACCAAGGAACGCCTTCTCCCGGCTAAATCTATGTCAAAAATAAATTTACCGAACTACATGTTTTTTTCAAAAATAAATACATCGAACTACATTTTTTCGATCAAATTTTGAATGCATGTATATTTAACTTTCAGTTAAGAAAATTTACATATCTATCTTTTATTTATTTTAGGGTGTCTATATTCCTTTAAAGCAATTCCCTCTTTCATTTGCATATCGACTGTTTGTACTTTGACTCTATATATCTTGTGGAATCTCAATAATGAAGAATAACTTGGAAGTAAAGTTAAATTGTCAACATCTAAAAGTAGTAACTATTTCGAAATAAGTAAATCCTTCTTACTCCAAGAAAAAGGGAAATCAGTTTACAACTTTAATTGTCAATACCTGTATAAAGTCAAACAAAAAAAAGAGCTCAACAGGTTAAAGCTTCCACTTGTTTGTGCTTGTGTATTAAAATTCTATAAAATGTTGTTGTAGATTGCCATTTTTATGAGATTGATATACGTGGAATCATATTTTCCTAAGTTTATAGATAAATGCAATGTCGTAAAAATTTCGAAATCTTATATGTGATATCGAAAGTCATGATAGAAGAAAAAGTAACATTTTAATCATATAAAAAGAAAAACTGTATATGCATGTCATGAATACAGTTATATACATCCAACCCACTTAAGACAAGTTATGAAAAATTACTACTATATCCCATTTAAGTATAAAGTCTGCTTTATGGCAAGGTTTAATGGGGATCTACTAGATCAGTTTATATAGAGAACACCTGACACAGGTACAAACTTTCATTGCAATCTTTTTTATTGTATTTAGATATTAACTTTAAGGATTTTCAGAACTCACAATATGCAAACTCAAGAAAAAACTTATATACGAATTAAATTTTGAAATGGAAAAGATCAAGGTGTACACTCGAAAGAAATGATTCAAATACATTACCAAACAAACAAAATTTGTCAAAGGTTAATGTATTTAGACATTTTCAATATGAATATTCTCATAATTATAGCTTTATAATGCCAACTTTCCACTTCCGCTAGATATAGTTCTGCTGTACCGACAAATCTGATGACTTTATTTACAGTGAATTACTTTATTGCTAATTTGATCGCAAATAATTGGTCGCTATAGTCGGACTGACACTGAATTTCATCTCACTTTTAATTAATCATCAACGTGCACTTTGGAAAATCGTATTCCCTTAAGAACGAATAAAAGCTAATCCTGATTTTCCAATCCTCTAGACACAAATGATCAAAACAATTTTGTCTGCGACTATGCCAATAATTCACCAGTCACTCGATAAATGCCACAGGCGAACGTCCATGATTGAATTTTCAAAGATTTTAAATTCTATTGTCGATATTTTAAATTGTCTGTTGTAAGTTGTTGTTTTAATATACTTGAATGTAGAAGAAAATTAATATTTTTTTGTGCAAACAGACTGAATTTGTTACATATTAAAGAGGGTCGTTACTGAAGTACCTTCATGACGAATAACTGTAAAAAATCTTACCAAATAACGTTAACGGTATTTTTTGGTGCATGACGATAAACTGTACACTTACTTTATGACGATAAAATAATCGACTGATTTCGACGAATCTCGTTAAATTCTTTCCAAAATTAACGGTAACGGTTAATTATTCGAGACCTCTGATGAACCACGATAAAATTTTAACAATTAAAGAAGTATTTTGGATTTAAGAATGGGATTTTTTTTCACTTTTATGAAGACTAAGAAAACATACCCAAACTTGTTTTTTTAAATGGCGGGTTTGCAGGCCAAATTCTTAACAACTTTGTGACTGCATTTTGCAGTTTACTGTTTTTGTACAAAACTGAAACCTGTTCCAACCGAGTAATGAGGATGAAAGACTGAAATCGACACTACATAAGTTTTATGGTCAACATCACGAATTGATTGACTTACAAGATCACTAATTTGAAATATGAATTTGATCGGAAACGGATGCGATTCCCTCAGTTTTATGTTTGAAACCTTGATTTTTTTCTTCTTAGACATCGGTAAGCTACCTACTGTCACCTTAATTTGAAATTATTTTGATCTTTTCGTTTGATTATTTGCCTAATCGAACAGTAAGGTGCATTTCAATCACCCCTTTTGATCTAATTTTGACTGAGATATTGACGCTATAGACGTCCAACGTTTATCAATGCATCTAAATAAATAACATTTGATATAAATATTTTGTCCCCTCATACACATCCTTAACAAATTCAAATCATATTCCCCAATATACATATGAGTATTTTGCTCATTGTTGAAGGGCGTACGGTCTTCTACGTCATTTAGTCTCTGGTGGAGAGTTGTCTCAATGGCAATCATACCACATCTTCTAATTTCTATACATTGTTTAGACCCATCTTAACTGTAGCTGTTATGTCGATTTTATATCCATTATCGTTTGCGAGATCTATGTAGACCTATGTCCACTACAGCTTTCATGTCGATTTTATATCCAATATCGTTTGCGAGATCTATGTAGACCTATGTCCGCTACATCTTTCATGTCGATTCTATATTGAATAAAGATGGTGAGACCTGTAAAGACCTATCTTCACTTTAGATGTCGATTCTATATCAAAACAGATAGCTTTACACATTTGTTACATAATTATGGCTTTGTGTTGTTATCTTGATTCAGTCAATGATCATCTTTTACAATTTTTGCAGTATAATAAAACGCAATTAGTTAATTGCTATGCAGTTGCGTGCGTTTTGATGATGAAATTCTTTGAAGATGTGGACGTAATGCTGAATTTTCATGTATCAATTTCAGTATTTGTCTTAAGCAAAGGGAACAATTATTTGTAAATAGTAAATAATGCACGGTTGAAGAACAAATTATATCTTCTACTGTTCGTTCATATGGTTACAGTTGCTTAAACAGCGTCATATTGTTTCTTAATTTTGACAGATTTTATTCTAAAAAGAGTACGTTGACGACTTTTATTTTCGGTGGACAAAAAATAAATTGTAGCATCACACGCGGACTTCACTTTATATTTGCATCCTTTTCTAATGAGCGTTATATTATGCTATTTCAAACCAGTTGATTCAAAAGATACATTGGTGGCCTTGGACTGTTTTCTGCCCTTTGGTCGGGTTGTTGTCTCTTTGACGCATTCCCCGTTTCCATTCTCAATTTTATTTTACGAACTGCAAACTGTGCAAACAGCAATTGATTAGCACAAATTTAGAATATACAGGATATCATGGTCTATTGAGAGGAGAGCCATGATAGATTAATTCACATTGAGTTTGAACATATTTTTTTCCACTCTTACAGCTCTGCAAAAGTGTATTCCGTAAAACCGGAATTATTCATCTGAAAGTTTTTTCATACCAAATATTGCTGTTGATATTTTGTGTACTAATGTACTTAAGTGGACCTGTGAATTCAGCTCGTCATTTGATTGATGCATCACAAATGCGGGCGGCAGGGAACATGTTGAACATTTTAAAAAGAAACTTTGGGACAAAACCGTAGATGAACTCCTACAAGACTGATATATCAAAGACTGAACTTACTTTCAAATGAAAATCATCGTGTTCTTTGAATAATAACCGAGTCTTTTCTTCTTCTTTCAAATACTGCCCACATTCAACATGAGGAATATTCTGGCAAGTTGCGCATGATTAAAACAGGATTAAAACAGGATAAAAACCAATTGTTCTGTTGATTTAGTTTGTGGTTTTGGTCACTTGCTTTAATTTGATTTTGGATTGGAAAAAGTAAAAGCCGCCGTTTTAGTCTTCAATAAACTATTATACAAGTATTTACTGTATTACTAATATCGAAAAGTACGTATCTAATATCTGAATTTCCCAAACCAAATCAGGTTAATAAGACACAAGAGAATAACATGTTTATTTCTACCTGTAACGTCAAATAAAAGCCTTCCCGTTATTGCAACTAATGAGAGCCAAAACCACTGAAGCAAGAGACCTTTATAAACAAACAATAATCGTAATTTCTGTATCAAAAGCTGCCTGTTATAACAGTGATACTATCTAATAACATATTGATCAAGGTAACACTGAACTATTGTCCTGGGACTGGAGAATGCAACCAAACATATTCATCCGAACGCACCTGATAAAAGGTTACAGTTTAAAAATTCAATAAGATCTTTAAAAAGCAACTGATGTGTAGAAATTGACAATCGCAATTAAAGTAATTTTGATATTAAAAATCTCAAATGATTTAATGTGAATGTACGAGAGTTTAGAGCACTGTACGTCATACTTTATTAAGTAAATCGTTTAAATTATCATTTATGAAAATAGTATATGTATACTATGTTTCTGTTGTGAATGCTGAATTTAATAGCTTAATTTCATGGGTTAACCATGGGTTTATTTCTCGTGGATTAGAATATTTCCTTAAATGAAATAATTAATATTTTACGTAAATTTCTCATGTTTCAGATACGTAAATTTGGGTTTTTGTATACTAAAACGTTCTGTTGATTTGTTTTAGTCTGTTCGGAATCTGTGCTCTTTTGACATATACGTGTTCTCTCTTTTTCTTCGACTTATCTTTTTTTTATTGCTCCTATACGATCTTCTATCTCTTTTGTTGCATTTCAAAGTGTTTTTTTCATTTTCTTCACTCTCTTTTTCTGACGTAGTGCATTGATTACGTTTTAAATGTATTGTTTGTATAATGAATACAGTATATAGTACATAGTACTGAGTAATCCTTGTCAAGTTATTAACTTAAAAAAAAATGACCTTTGTCCTCTTTACGAATTACCATGCTATTACAAAGTGTAGGTGCATATATTACGAAAGACTAATTCAAAATTCTCACAATATTATACAAAGTGTACTCATTTGACACATTCCTTACATTTTTATAATATTTTAATGATTCGTTACCACAACCATGAGTCAACATATATAACATGTATATGCAATCTTCTATAGCAAACGATTTTGATCATTTTTGTCCGTTTTACCTATTTTGGATCTGTGAACCGTATCTAGACGAAATGCGCATCTGGCGCACCGAAATTGAAGCCCAGGTATCTCTGATGAGTTTTATATAAAAAACATAAGAACTTTGTCATACTACTTAACAAACAAGTTTTTCTATCTTTTTCGTATAATATCAATACAGTAGATAACATCGTCCTTAACATGCATGAACTATTTGTCACTGTACGTTAAGTAACCAACAATCAATACATTAGATAACATCGTCCTGAACATACATGAACTATTTGTTGTCACTGTACGTTAAGTTACCAACATTCAATACAGAAGATAACATCGTCCTGAACATGCATGAACTATTTGTCGCTGTACGTTAAGCAGCCAACAATCAATCAGTAGATAACATTAAGGTTTAAATATAATCCGGTTATTTAAAGAATTTCTATTTATGCTTAACAGGAAAGGTGGTGTATACGTCAACGAGACAGCAATCCACCAACACTAGAGCCAAAATAGATCTAGAGGTCAAAATGCGTTATCCAGCAATAGCCAAGACAAAATCGAATCTAGAAAATTATTAAAATAAACCTAGAATAGATTATCAAAGATCTGTCATGAACACCAAATTTTACAAAATGATGAAAAACACATATAAAAAATGACGAAAGACAACCAGTTACTAATGAAAAAAGTACAATGTTTTGGGTTTAGTCCAGTTGCTTACGATGAAGTGAGAAATACTCAAACTACTTACTCAAACTTAAAACTGATAAATCTTGCATTTCACGTTTCAACTTTTGATTGACCTAGAAGGGAGACTATGTGTTTCAAAGAGTACAGTGGTCATTATTTCGACATTAATCCGGCGTCTGACGGGGTTTTAGGTCTTTTTGGGGCCTCGGGTGGACAATTCCTAAAAGGCCGTCAGACGTCGGTGCAAACTAAATGGTTATAGAAACTCTTACTTATCGTAGCATTTGTAAGTAAGGGTCCTAAGTTACAAGTCTTCATTAATTTAAATTATTGTTTCATGAAGAAATTAGACTATTTAAAGATAACATATTTCTATGTAATGTACTTATCTGGCCATGTACAAATATAGTTGTTTCAGTTTATAACAAATATTGAATTTAGATAAAAATATTAGTTATAACTAGTTCTTATAATTACTTGTGAATTAAAAGCATGTAGCACTCATTAATATCACTTATATGAACAGTTCATCTTAAGTCATATTTCAAAAAGACAGCTTCTTTGTGTATCAAAGATAACATTATCAACATAAAACAAATACTAGTTCTAGCTATTCTTATAATATCTAAAACCGGAGTAAATTTCAATATCTTACCTGTCCTGGAAAATATTCCAATTTGAATAAAAACCAAAATAATCCAACATTTCCTCGAACGTATAACAGTATTTATTACAGATTCCATTGTTTGTCAACAGCTTACTATGAAACCAGAAAATGGAATAACTTTTATATTGCTCACTCCGGAAATCTGCTTGCAATGTTACTAATCAGATATTTGAGAATAAAGTAATAGATTCCGATAAACTGTTATATAATAGAGGAGTTCCGGACCTCGGTGTTCCAATCAAGACACCGGAATAAAAATTGATCGTTCTCTATTACTGTTCTCTTACGTTATATATTATTGATTCATTAAACAATAAAAAGTATACAATGATTTTCGTACTATTTCAATAATTCATACTTATCAGTTTTGCTCACAAAAAGCAAACAAAATGTTTGCAAAAATCAATTTGTCCTTTTTCTTTCTTTTCAATATTCAACAAAACACACACTTTCAAAAGTGAAAAAGTCGTCCGTTTTAAAGTTTCATCGAATGAGCAACAGAAATTCAGAAGAAAAATACATAAAGATAATATATTTACGAATATACTGATAATGATTCTGCAATATTTTATTCATTGATAGAATAATAAAGATTTGAATAACTAAGTTTGATTTTATGAAACAACCTGGAAAGTATGAAGAAGGTAAAATCCCTTGTGAACCAAAAATAAGATGTTAATAGACAATATAAATATAAAAAAAAACTTCTGACTTTAGTATCATTCAATATTTTATCATATTTTTTTTATTAAATTCAATTAAAATCAGATATTAAAACGCGTATATTAGAGACGATAGGGCGGAAACAATAATTGAATAAATATTTATAACGTTAAAATGAAGCACGATTATTGTAAACTTGAATTGAAAATTTATAAAATATACTTGATATATCTAAATATTGTGGTTTTCATTGTAGGATATGATACTTGCGGTTATGATCTACTCGAGATCTGAGCAGGAGTTACAATTTATGGTTTAACCTGAAACCTACATTAATAAGATAACCGATAGTATCCCAAATATAAAAATTAAAAATGATATTCTGATAACTTTGAAATAAAAATGGTTCTTTTTTATGTGAGAACTAAAGTGTTAAATCCTAGTTTCATTTCAAACGCACTTAAAAAATACATTATGCACATCTTTGTTGTTTTGTCTTTAATGAATAGATGTATCATTAGCAAACATGTTTACATCATCTCCTGATCTTTAGATGCGACATTGCAAGTCCATGTTATGAAAGACAAAACAAATCATTTGAATAAAGAAATCAATATATAAACAAGAGGTGCCCATGGTAGTATAAAATAAATATTCTGAGAAAATTTCATTGAAATCCTATCGGTGGGTTTGGAGGAGTGACGGACACAAGATGTCTATCCGTACTTCTATATATAGCTAAGATAGTCATGTTTTGATACGGATACGTACAACGCCATAAAGCACAGTAACAGTAAAACTGTGCATCTGCTCCGGTTGCAATAGCGATGCGACTAGCGAGGAGTTACGACGCGACGATATTGGGATGCGATGCGATTGACCTTCGATATGATATATTATGTATTGCGACCCATGTGAAATGAAATTACTTGTTTTGGAGAAGTTGCATTTATAAAGTAATGACAGAAGAAAATACGAACGAATGAACGGACGACGAGTAGACTCAACAATCACTAGAAAACCTATGATTCGGATTCGATGGTTATATAAACTTCAGTATGATTAATATAATTCATGAAAAACCCTACGAATGTCCCAATCTTGCTCTCTGTCGGATGTTCTCTGTATTTACTTCAAAACGTTTTAGAACTCATTTTTACATGCCTACATCAATTAATGTGTCTTGTCAGCTAGACACCGAGATGATTTACGATATACTAGTTGTATATCTGTTGTCTTATCAGCTTAACGTCGTGGCGGTGTACGGGATATCCGAGATTAAGACTGTTGTCTCTCCAGCTAGATACCAAGGTGATGTACTGTATACCGGAAATAGGACAATTTTCTTGTTAACTAGACATCGTGGTGGTATCCAGTATACTGGAAATAAGATTTCTAACTAAGAAGTCTTGTCAGCTTGACACCGAATATATGTACAATGTATTCAAGAACATGACTGTTGTCTTGTCAGGACACCGTGGTAATGAACGGTACACCAAAACAAGATTGCCGTCTTGTTAGCTAGACACCGAGGGGTGTACTATATATATTGGATAATATACTGCACAATCAAACAGATAATCCTTTTTAAACAGGTGGGGCGATGGGAAGGAATTTAATCTGTTATGTTTGTAATATTCGCAAACAACAACATTATAAACGTTTCAAAGATAAGAAGTTAGGTTTTGTGATATTCCTAGCTCTTCATTTTGTTTCTAATGGTAGCTATTCATTATATATAGCAGAGGAATGTTTTGTAGCTTTCAAGTTTGTTTAGTTTCTTTTTATTGTGCAATTTAATGGCACCAAAGATAGATCTCCGTGTCCATTTATTTAAAGCATTTGTCTGTGCATTGAAAATAATTCAAATTTATTACAACACAATCAAAGAAACTGATATATTTATATGTCGATATCTGCCATACAACATGCATTGTTATATAAATAATCAGTCTTTATATTTGATATCTTCAAAGAAAACAGAACAATATAAAAATATAACAATGTATATGAAGATTTTCCAGAATTATTGGTCATGCAAGTTAGTCCCTTGGTAAACCAAAATGGGTTTGGTAAATTGTTGAAAAAGTTCCGAAAGACAAGTTATGAATACTTCGATGGCAACTATATTGTTTATCAATAAAATAAACAATGTACTAAGCTTCTATTGATGTAATGGTATTGAAAAATATCACACCTCCTTAACATTCCTAGGCATATCATTGGTGAAAGTGAACACGTGGAGACAGTGTATATAAACAAAAAACTTTTTATTCTCTATGGTCCTTCTTCTTTTAATAAATTTACAGACTTTATTTCAATCTTATCTGGTAATCAAATTTTATATAAACATGAATGAAATGTATTCTTAATATTTGTCTTTTTTCAATATAGTCGGGGGATATCCAAACTAATATTATATTGATATTGGAAAGCCCATTGATTTTGCTTTCGAAATATATTCGAATCTTATTAATAATTGTTTACTAAACAAAAACACTGTGCAATATTTTTTTTAAATATTAAACTGATCTGTAGGATGCTTCTTTTTTAATTAACATATAACATATTTGAAATGATCTGGTGATCAATTTTGTATAAAATGAATAAAATGTATTTTTAATATTTGTCTCGTTTTTGCAATATATTCGAAAATGTTTTCAGACGATATTGTTAATTTCCAATGTTCTGAAGCATCCTTCCATCTTGTTGATACTGTTTACTTGTATTCTGTAACTGTTGGTAGCTCTTATTTAGTAATTAGTGGATAGTTGTCTCATTAGCAAACATATCCCATCTCCTCATGTGTGGTTGTAACATGGCAAGTCCATATTATAAAAGACTAACAAAAATCATTTGGAGAAAGAAATCAATAAATAGACAGAATATGCCCTTGGTAGTTTTAAAGAAATATTCTAGAAAAATATTTCAACAAATTCAATCAAATTTTGTACAAAATGAATGAAAGTTATTTTAAATATTTGTCTTTTGTTTGCAAAAAAGTCGAAAATATTTTCGGGCGATATTGTTAAATTCCAATGTTCTGAAGCATTCTTCAGTCCTGTCGATATTGTTAACAAAATTTTGGGACTGCCCAAGGTCATGCGTTTTACAGATTGTTTAGACGTCTTTACACTAAATCCGTTGGGTGTGTACTTAATAATATTTTTTTGTCTAAGAGAACATTATTTATTTATTTGTCGTAACTGGCTTTGGACTAGCTTTAAGTGACTGCGAGTACTTTTATTTCGGGGCTTTGTGTCAATTGGCTTTATGTTAGTTGTTTTTGTGCCTCGTACCGATGCCAATTGCAAATGATTTTAACAGTGTGGTCTTATGCTGTTACACCACTGTCCCAATTTTGGGGAGGGTTGAGCGCTCACAAATATGTTTAACCAAGCCACATTTTGTATGTGTCCGTCCAAAGTCAGGAGCCTGCAGTACAGTGGTTGTCCACAGTTCATGTCTGTCATAATTATTTTTCGTAATTCTTTTTGTTATAAATTAGGCCGTTAGTTTTCTCGCCTGAATTGGTTCACATTTTTCATGTCGGGGCCGACTATACAGTATGTTTTTTTCATTGTTGAAGGCTTTCGGTGGCCTATTACTACTTACTACCACTTCATTTTAACTCTGGTGGATAGTTGTATCACTGACAACTGTACCACATCTCCTCATTTTTATATAACGATAGAGTTTTCAAATGCCTTTTGGAAAGAAAATCTTTCTGTCTTTATTGTTTTGACCATGGTGTTTTTGTTCTTTTTTTTAATTATCAATGATTGTAAATCATCTCTGGAATTTTATCCCGTTTTGAAAATGTTCTACCTTTCAATGCATAACAACTAACCACCAACAGCAAGTTCATTACAATAATCTGACACTTCGTTTTACAATAAGAATTGAACAGTCAGCCTACGCATACAACATTTGCTTGTGTTGTTAAACAACAAAGTTAGCATTACAAACATAATCTGACATCACAAACGGGTTTATTAACAATGTATATCCGATATCAATAACATTAACGGTACTGCACCAGATGTGCATTTCGACAATTAAAGTCTCTTCAAAGATGCTCGCGGCCAAAATATTTATAAAAATTTCAAACCTAATACAAATGTGCAGAGCTGATATCACCAAAAAAGTATGACAAAATCCGGACAAGGAATCAGAGCTATTCATGAGGGAGATATGTCCTAAATTTATAATTTACAAAATTTCGTAACAAAAAATTTCAATCAAGTATCCATTGCCATTTTGCAATATTCCGATCAGGGCGTCACGTACGATAGCCATGCGGAGTCAGGTTTAACCAGTTTACTCCCATCCTTTCGGAGCGGGAATATAATTAAATCATAACGTACATCTAAAAATTGACATGCAATTATAATTGGTTGAGATATTAACTTTATGACAAAGGAGATGATTTAATTTTCCCATTGTGATCATTTCATTCTGCAGTTTAGTAACATTCCAACAGTGCCTGAATATGG